TTATTCATGCAAATTATTTGTATTTGACTCATATCAATGTCTAAAGTTGCCGGAATTTCGCGGTATGTCACATGTCGATCTTCCTCAATCAGCTTTCGCACAGCATCAACGTTTTCTTGGGTGACTGCAGTTTTTGGAGGACCTTGACGAGGATTATCACTCAGCTTGACACGTCCACGTTGAAATTCAGCAAACCAGCGATAAATTGTGGTTTTGGATGGGGCTTCATCACCAAATGCAGAAATCATCCGGTCAACACACTGTTATTGTGTTAAACCAATTCGAAAGTCATAATAAATCATCGCTCTTGAATTTTCTCGAGTCAATTCCATTTTCTCAACGACTAAACAAGTTTGACAAAACCTTGTGACAAGACCGAGAATGTTTTTTTAAATAAATAAATGGTATTCGATTTTTAAAACCAAGGAGTTTTCAATTAAAAAGATTTTAATATGACAGGAACAGTGGAAATATTCCATTACCGATACTTTTAGTGCCGCCTAGTATTGCTCCATAAAATGTAAATTTACCTATCCTGCACTAGCGAAAAGATCTGCAGTAGTACCTACGCTAAGTTATTGAATAATATATTCAAGTTATTCAAAATTTATCACTTATGACGTATTTACAATGATACTTTGACAATTTGGTACAATGACACTATGGCCCCATTACAATCAGCAAATAGATGACCTCGATATCCGATGTATAGTAATCCAAAACAGTTTGTTTTTGAATACTCAGCATTGGTTCGGTTTGTTTAGGTGCGTCGGTGTTATTATCAGTTCTATGAAGTTTCTACATTCTAACATTAAAATATGTGTTTTGCATACATAATTATGTGTCCCGTGTAATAGCGGATAAGAATATGTCTTCCCGTAGGTGTCGTAAGAGGTGACAGAGACAAACAGGCAGAAGATGGGCAGCAGCATCTTTCTGATAACAACAATAGTACAATAAAAACATGACGTTGCCAACCCGCTCGCCAAGCGTGGCAATTATGGAAAACATTCACCTATGAGCAACGACACAAGTAAACGACCCCCAGTCCCCGGGGGGCCCGCTATTCCCGGCTACGGTGGCGACCACGGTAACGGCGACGAAGGAGGTGCTAAGAATCTCCGGTGGTTTCGTTGCCACCTAAGACGACTCGACCTGGCAACATTTAACGCTCGCACCCTGAGGACTGGAAGAAGAGATAGACAAATTGCGCTAGAATATTATGGGATTATCTGAAGTCCGAAGAGAGGGGGAGGACACAGTAATTCTCGAATCACCGGGAGAGTGACCACCTATCCCAAGAAGGTGTCGGATTTATCGTCCAAGAGTCAAGATTTAAATAAAAAAAATATACATACTCCTGAAGAGAGTATAATATCTACCATATTCCCTTTTAATAATTAAACCAATGTTGTAAGGATTGTGAGTGTATCCACCAAACAGTATTCGTTAAATTTCATACAGATTAACATACCAACCTCAGCACATTCCGATAAGGAGGTGGAGGAAATGTATAAGGATGTCTCTAAAGCCATGAATTCCTCCAAAACCCACAAAAACTGGGCACAAATGAAAACAGTGAGCTAAATGTAGGGAAATCCGGAATAGGGCACCGGAACCCAAGGGGACAGCATCCGGCCGACTTTATCAAGAAAGAAGAACTGTTGAATATCAAGCTCCACTTGTGCTCGTGGAATTCTTGAATTAAATAAATACTTCGATATGTAGACTGTATAGATAATTTAATAGGTACTGGTATGAGAGTAGCCATTATGCGTGCGTTCGCGACCGGGTGGTTCCGAGCAAGTGCCGTGCTTTGTGCCGCTGCGCTGTGTCCATGTTCGAAGTGGGGCTGCATTCGCAGAACCGGTTTGATGCTTGTTGCCCGGAGATAAGAGTCGGGGAGAATAATGGGCTGTGTGTGTGATGGGGATGTGGCTGTCAGGAACAAGAACTTTTTATGATGAATTCTTTCTTCCAGAAGCGGCCCCACAGTAAGTGGACCTGGTCGAGCCCCGAAAGTTCGACAAAAATGATATTAGCTTTATTATGACGACTAGACGGCAACTGTTTAGTGATATCTCAGTAATCGCGAGGGTGAAAACTGGTAGCGATCACCGAATGGTGAGAGGCACACTGAACCTAAAGGTGAAGTTGGAGAGGTCACATCTAATAAAGTCAACGCTCCGTCTCCCTTGAGCTCTAATCCAAAGTCCCGAAAACATTCAGCTCGAGATACAAAACCGTTTTCAGTGCGTAGAAGACTGCAATTCAGTGGAAAATATAAATGACAAGCTCTTGGAAACTGTTCTTGCGATCAGAGTGAAGTTCTGCGAGATCCGTCGCAGAAGAATACAAAATTTTCCGATCACACTCTTAACCTTATTGCTGCTAGACGGGAATCATTTCCCTAAAGATTGCAGCTTCATAGCTGCAATCTTTAGCAGATTTGACGGTATACCGGCAACTGAACTGACAGATCTTCAAATGCATGCGGCGGCACTGTAATAAATTTAATACAGCTCACATTGAGAAGTGACTAAGCGAAACACGGGCTCCAAAGGACACCTGCGATATTTAGGGAAATTGAGAGCTTCTATGGGCAGTTGTACACGTCATCGTTGGAAACACATGAAAGTGTGAGTAACGATCCGAGAGCAAGTCTCATCCGACACTATTTCGATGATATTCCGGACGTCAGTCTCAACGAAATTAGAATGGTTCTACATCACTTTTATCACGGCAAGTTCCCGGGCGAGAATGGAATTACAGAGGAGCTCCTAAAGGCGGGTGGACAACCGGTACTTGAAGTCCTTCAGAAGCTCTTTAACTTCATTACCCATGGTGGCAATACTCCGGAGGCGTAGATCAGAAGTGCGGTGATCTTGTTCTTCAAGAAAGGCGATAATGCTCTTTAGAAGCACTGCAGATCGATTTTCCTTCTGAACTGTGTCTACCTGCTGTCGAATCATTACGAATCGTCTTGCACGCAGATTCGACGACTTCCAGCCTCCCGAATAAGCCGGTTTTCGAAAAGGCTTTAGCATCATAGACAACATGCATAACCTACGGCAAATTATACAAAAGACCAAGGAGTACAATCTGCCACTATGCCTTACGTATGTGGACTATGATAAAGCCTTTAATTCCGTCGAAATTTGGGTGGTGCTGCAGTCCCTTCAGTAGAGCCAAGTTCACTGTCGGTATGTCGTAGTGCTGAAGTATTTGTGCAGTAGGGCTACGATGGCTATCCGACTACAGAACTAGAGTACGAAACCGGTCCTACTTCAGAGAGGTGTAAGACAGGATGACGTTATATTCCCGAAACTCTTGACCGCGACATTAGAAGACGTTTTCAAGCTACTGGACTAGAAAGGATACGGTATTAACGTCAATGGAGAGTACATCATTAACCTTCGATTTGCCGACGATTTAGTCCGTATGGCATAATCACTGGAAAACCTAAATACTATGCTCAACTACCTAAATAGTGCCTCCCAACGGATAGGGAACTTAAGATGAACATGGACAAAGCAAAAATCATGTGTGTAACGTCCATGTCACACCTATACCAGTAGTTGTTGAGAGCACTATTAATTTAGACGTTATTGACGAGTATATTTACCTGAGACAAATACTCCGATTAGATAAACCCAACTTCGACCGAGAGGTCAATCGACGGGTTCAACTCGGCTGGGCAGCGTTCGGGAAATTACGACACATCTTCTCATCAGGTATACCTAAAAATCTGAAAACTATATTGTACAACCAGTGCGTGTTGCCAGTGATGACTTATGGATCTGAGACGTGGACCTTCACTGCTGGCCGTGTGAGGACGCTCAAGGTCGCTCAGCGAGCTATGGAGAGTGCTCAGGGTTTCTCTGCGTGATAAACTTAGAAATGAAGGTATCCTCAGTAGAACCAAAGTGATCGACATAGCCCAACGGATAAGTAAGCTGAAGTGGCAATGGGCGAGCCATGTAGTTTGAAGGATGATTTCGACAACTGATGAGAAAAAAGGGTCTCGAGTGGCAGCCCCGTAGCGTTAGGTAGTGTAGGGCGACTCCCCATTAGATGGAGTGACAACCTGGTAAAACATACCAGAAGCCGATGGCTACAGGTGGCTCAGGACCGTGCTTCGTGACATTCCTTGGCGGCGGCCTATGTTCAGCAGTGGACTTCTGAAGGGCTGTAATAATGAAGACAGACTATGTGCATCATAGTCGACCATAACATACTTCAATAAGTGATCCATGTAGGTTTGGAACATATATGTCCCATGTTTATGTGGGACTTTTATTAAAAAAGATTGTGCCAACAGTGTTACTTGCCTAGCTTGTGGTAAAAGGCGACTAATGGGATATTGGGTTTAGGATTGTGTAGGCAATGGGCTAGCCACTTATCCTCCTTAATATTTTCCATTTAATATAGCCCATCGGACTAATAAGCTGAAGTGGCAATGGGCCGGCCATATATCTCGAAGAACCGACAACCGCTGGGGAGAAAAGGTTCTCGAGTGGTAGCCTCGTATTGGTAGGCAAAGTATAGGGCGGCCACTCACTTGATGGAGGGACAACCAGGAAAGACATGCAGGAAGTCGATGGACGCAGGTGGCCCAGGACCGTGCTTTGTGGCATTATTTGAGGGAGGCCTACGTTTAACAGTGAACTTGTGAAGGGCTGATTATTTGTACAAAATTAAGCATGTTTCTCGTTCACTTATTATATCTATGATATTTTATATATATCCATATTATTTTTTGGCCTAACATGGTTCGGGCAGTGCAGGTGTGAAGTATATATTATGATAAAGAGTACTAACGGTACACATTAGATACATGTGAATCTATATATACCTCTCTAGCCACATAGCCATCAAGCAGGTGTTAAAATAATTTGTAGAATCGTAACCAAGTTTCTAAAAATACTCACTATAACTATGCTTTTAGGTGGATACGTTAGCTTGTTTAAAATAATTATGTATAATTTTATGGTTTTCAGGCGACGTTGTAGTAACCATACTGCCAATTATCGAGACTGAGAATCTGCAAAAGGAAGATATTCCAAATTTGATGGAAAAAACACAATTACTGATGCAAGAAGAATTCACAAGAACCTCTGCTGAGACAAAACCAAGACTTTCTCTTTAATATGATAAAGAAGATTAAGATATGTAAGTTGAAAATTTTTGATTTATCTTGGGCCACCGAGAGAATTTCGTTTTGGCATGTTAGATTAAGGTAACTATTGATGGATAGGTAACGATTGACAGTTGTAACCACATGAATAGTAATAGTATTGTCTTATTATTACGATTTCTGTGGTTGTAATAGTACCATTCAAACACTTTTGTAGTAGATATTGATAATAGTCATTTTTCGCAATCATCATCATCATCATTCATCATCATTACAGCCCTTCACGAGTCCACTGCTGAACATAGGCCTCCACAAAGCACGGTCCTGAGCCACCTGCATCCATCGACTTCCTGCATATCTTACCAGGTCGTCACTCCATCTAGTGGGGGGTCGCCCTACACTACGCCTACCGGTACGAGGCTGCCACTCGAGAACCTTTCTTCCCCATCGGTTATCGGTTCTTCGAGCTATATGGCCGGCCCATTGCCACTTCAGCTTACTAATCCGTTGGGCTATGTCGGTCACTCTGGTTTTACTGCGGATATCCTCATTTCTGAGTCTATCACGCAGAGAAACACCGAGCATAGCCCTCTCAATAGCTCGCTGAGCGACCTTGAGCGTCCTCATACGGCCAGCAGTGAAGGACCACGTCTCAGATCCGTAAGTCATCACTGGCAACACGCACTTGTTGTACAATCTAGTTTTCAGAGATTGAGGTATACCTGACGATGATATACCCCCCATGAAAAATTATACAAATTTTTCGCAATAAGATAATGAAAATACTTAGATTTACATTTTTATATTTATATCTTTTTAATAAAAGAGGCAAATGAACTTGCTGCTTACCTAATGGGAAGTGACTACCGCTGCTTAAGAACACTGTACACAATGGGAATCGCAGGTGCATTACCGGCCTTTTAAAAATGTTACTTTTCTTAGAAGTCCCTTAATCGGATCGGTCTAGGAAAATCGCGATGGTAGCTAATTCGACGCGTAAAAGAAAACTTCTAGTAAATCGCTCAGTAGAGATCTTGAATAATCTAGATTCTAGATGGTGCAGATGGTATGCGGTGTGCGATAGTGGAATTTGGCAGCTGAAATTAATCCAAATAATTCCTCCGAGCACTTCCCGTTGTAAATGCGCTAGAAAATGAAAAGGGATGCAGCATCTCTTTGCAGCGCCAGTGAATCGAGCTGATCAAAAATAACTCTGTCATTGTCATTGACGGACCGCTCTTTGCCCGATGCGGTCAAGTGGAAGTAGTTGGAATTGGATTGTCTCAGTTCAGAGATGAGAATAATAGTTCATGTGAGGCCGAACTTGCACCTTATAAAGTTGCATACGGTGTACTTAGTAGATTTCATGCTGCATGAGGTACATCGTTTGCAATGTTTTAGAGATTAATTTGGCATTTCCTTCCAATTGACAGCAGAATTAAATATGTCGACGCCTAGATTTCTGATGCTCTCCGAAACAGAAAGAGGAATGCCTTTAAATTGAGGTAAATGTCTTTAGAGGGTTAAACTGGACTAGATTTAATCGCCCCCAGTCTGAGAAACTGGGTTAAAAAGCATCACGCGTGCAGTGGCGGAGCTAGAGCTCCAAGCTAGGGCAAGCCCAAGATATAAATTGATAAAAATATAGATTGTTGTTTTTAGCAGTTTTATAAAAATACTCCAATCTTGATTTGTCTCCACGCTTCAATTTCATATTCAGTGCTGTCAAGGACGTGTTTAACAGAGCACACAGAAGGCATACCACTGCTAGATAGATTGTATTACATATCAGCAATTGCATAGCTTCGGTGGCTTTGAAGAAAGCCGTTTGGGTTTGTTTAAGCGAAAGAAAAAAATATTTACATCCAATACAATACATGAACAAAAGTAAAACACGAACAAAGTACAAACTATGTACAAAATTAAAAAAAAATTATTTACATTCTAATGGATAAGAGATAAGATAAGATAAGTGGAATCGTCTCGCTTTCTTATGGAAAGATTTAATTACGTCCACGTAAAATGTTGGTGAACGTTTTAATTGTACCAATCTTTCAAGTTTTTAATTGCGATAATTGATAAGTTTGAAATACACTCTTAACCTTGTGTATTATCTCAACAAAGTTAAAAGATTTCCTCTCCGATTATCACTTTAACACACTTCAATTCATCACAAGGAACACTATTATCCTCCATTTTCATTAAAGAGCATAAATTTTGAACTCGTAATATTAAATCGCTTAAGATAAGCACACAGAGTAAATAAACATTGAAACGTGAAATGAACTTGCAAACGTATTGCCCGCGCGCCTCCGCTTTTAACAAATTTATTCCCAAAAGCCTGGCTTTAAATCTCTATACTAATTGCTATATATACAATAGTAGTTATATTTCATTATAGAATATTTTGCCATAGGTTAGAAAGAGAGCGGTCGTCTTCTCGAAAGCCCCGTAAAAAGCCCACGCGAGCGAGGGAGACAACTATTAGCTCTATTAAAACTCATTTTTTATGACAGCAGCAGTATCGCTAAGGCAATACAAGATCATCGGTCGACATGTGTCGAACAGTGGAAATTTGAAATAGCTTGAAACATTTTACGAGTTATTTTATTAGTTGATATTATTGACTGATATTATTGATTGATTCAGGTTTAATAAGGCAAGCCCGGCTTTTCGGCTTTAATGGAAGCTTCGCCACTGCATGCGTGCTTTCACCATAGCATAGCAATGAATGAGTTATTGGCTTGCAACATAATATTATTGATAAGCAGGAACACTATCGTAGGTGAAGGTACACAGTCTTGTGGAACACCAGCATTGACTTTGCTTGTATGGCTTGATTTGGTTTGTAGTCTGAATATGTACCGTCTACTAAAACCTCACACTAACACCAAAGTTTTTCGTGTTCAATTGGGTCACCCAATTGGAAAACATTTCGGGATGCCCCTAGGAATGAAGCGTCGAAAGCAGCGCTTTGTGCTAAACCGGATCGAAGGCTTTCGCTATGTTCAAACTTGCCGTCAAGGCAACCTCCATGGAACTCTAGTGCCTCCGCCCATTAGTGAGTTAAGTTAAATTTGAAGATCACGAGCTCAGGGAACTCGACGGAAACCGTATACCACTAATCAGCTAGTTAGCAGTCTTTGAGATACCTTATGAGCTGGCAGAAGAAGAAGGTGATGGAGATTGATCTGTATGTAGTTTGAGTAGTTGTAGTTGGGCCTGAGCGGTCAAATATATTTAGGGATTGGGATCACTAATGCTGTCGTCATGAGTTCAGGACTAACGTAAGGGAGTGGGAATACAGGTAAAATGCGGAAGAACCGATGCTTACTCTTCAGCAAAATTGGAGGAACTTCATTAGGCCCACTCGACTGCTTTGCGTACCGATCACTGCGTGAAACGCGCTTCTGGCATGAAGCACTCGACACTGTTGAATGTTTCGGCGGTATGTTTCTCTTATAATGGACGGCAAGCTGGATGCAAAGAGAGCTTAAAATCGGCTCGGCTTTCATCGTTGCGTTGTCGGCCAGTGAGGCATCTTTCCTGGGGAAAAATGATTGAGACGTCTAACAGAAGTTCCGTTGACAGTAATAGAATTTAGAATGCACAGGCTCCCGAATGAGGGCGTCTTACTTTCTTTTCAATTTTGCTGTTGCGTTCTGAATTTGCCACTTGAACGAGCTTTTTTGAAGGATTTGGAAACAAAATTATATTTCTTTTTAAGCCCGCTGATATTTAAATTCGGGAAGTGAGCTTAGTACTGATAGCACTCCTGCTTATTGCGTAATGTAATTTTAACAAACTGCTTTAATACTGTTACGAGCTTGAGGTTCGTGACAATAAAAACTGCCGATTTAATTACCAAAATTAACTCTTTAATTCACTTTACACTAATTAAAACTTAGAACACTAATAATTAACCACAATGATTCACTTTATTTCGATCCGAAGCTTCGCTTCTCTCGCCGAATTCAATACTTGCCCGCTCGCATCTTGCAGCGCCTTTAAATACACATTATCACCAAAACATCCAGAATATTCAAGTAAATACGCGCGCCAATCGACTAGGCACCGAAAGTTCGAGTGTCGGCTTCTAGAAGCTTAGTTCTTCGTTTCAACACCTGGCGATGGCGCTGTCGGTTGAAAGATTAGTGATGTCATTTTCTATAAAGCTCCCCCCGCTCTCGTCCCTGACACTACATGACGTCAACTTAGGCGCGCAACACTGCCCCCTCCACATGCTCGTCCCGAGCATTATCGGCCCCATAATAACGCGCCAAGCAATCCACATGGACGATCTTAGGAGTCCCTCTTGCGCCTTTCTGTATCCGGTAGGTTACATCGTTGATCCTGGTTACAAGCCGGTACGGGCCGTCCCATTTAGCTTGAAGCTTAGGAGATTTCCCTTTGCTGCGGACAGGATTGTGCAACCACACCTTCGTCGAACCCTTTATTGTTCATTTTGCGGTCATACCGGGTTTTCATCTTCTCATACATTTGCTGGCCCGATTGTCTGACGTGCTCATAAATGTCATTTATTTTATTCCGCAAGTCATTTGCATAATCGGTTATACTGCGTGGGGCATAAGGTGGTATCCCGGTGATCAGGTCTGCAGGCAGCCGTAATTCTCTTCTAAAGTTTGCGAAAGCTGATGTCACTGCTGTACTTTCGTGAACAGCGCTTCGATATGACAACAAAAACGGTTGTATGTGCTTGTCCCAATCTCGTTGCCGATTGTCTACGACTAGGTACCTCTCCAATGTCTGATTAAATCGTTCTACCATTCCATCAAATTGCGGGTGATAAGAAGTCGTTATTGTTTTATGAGTACCCATAACTCGGCAAGTTTCCTGGAATATTTGAGACTCAAAATTCCTTCCTTGATCGCTGTGAATCTCTAAAGGTACTCCAAAACGACAGAAGACTTCATGAACTAGTTTATCTGCAACTGTTGAAGCTTCTTGATTTGGAATGGCGAAGACTTCTGGCCACTTAGTGAAGTAATCCA